AAAGACTTTCTCCAGAAGAAAAAATATTATTAGAAACACTGTGGAAATTTTTTTTTGCTTTGTTAAACATAATAAGGGAAATATTTGAAAAAGAAAAAAAAATCACAGGAGGGCTAACAATTCTGACTTCAACTGTTTGTCAAATCCACAAAAATACAGCTTTAAATATATAAAAATCAGTCTCTTGTTTTATACACAATGGATAACTCTGGAGGACACTAGGTTATTACGGTGGCTTTCTCATAGCTAACAAATAATTCAATCCGATTGAATGTCATCCTAGGGTTGTAACTGGACATGTAAAACCATTTCAGGAGAATTTCTGTGCTTACCTAAACAACATACCTTCTATGTAGATATCAGAGAACAATGTAAACATATAGAATTAGTGCATTCTACGGCACTTTTATGTTTAAATTCTCTTAAACATCAATACACAATGTCTGAAGACAGATGAACTGGCAAGTAATTCTAGCTGTTAAACCAATTGATCATTTAGATCAGTGGTCACCAAACTTGTTCCTGGAGGGTCGGTGTCCTGCAGATTTTATCTCCAACCCTAATCAAACACACCTGAACAAGCTAATCAAGGTCTTACAAGGTATACTTGAAACATCCAGGCAGGTGTGTTGAGGCAAGATGGAGCTAAACCCTGCAGGGACACCGGCCCTCCAGGACCAGGATTGGTGATCCCTGATTTAGATGCTCAGCTTTATTCTGTCCTCTCACACTATCATCTCAAAAACATTGCAAGAATTAGATTCTTTGTTCCCAGTGAGAAACTTGTTCATGCTTTAATGAGCAGCAGGGTGGATTACTGTAACAGACTCCTTACTGGCCTTCCCAAAAAGACAGTCAGACAGCTGCAGCTCATCCAGAACGCTGCGGCCAGGATTCTGACCAGGACCAGAAACACAGAGCACATCACATCGGTCCTCAGGTCTTGACACTGGCTCCCAGTTACATTCAGAATAGATTTTAAAGTATTATTACTGGTCTATAAATCACTAAATGGCCTAGGACCTCAATACGGTACAGATATGCTCACTGAATATAAACCTAACAGATCACTCAAATCTTTAGGATCAAGTAAATTAGAAATCCCAAGAGTTCAGTCAAAGCAGGGTAAATTCACCTCCAGCCACCGCTGGAATCAGCTTTCAGAAATGATCAGATGTGCTTGAACATTAGGCACATTCAAATCAAGACTGAAAACACATCTGTTTAGTCGTGCCTTTACCGAATGAGCACTGTGCAAGTCCGTCAAATCAATCTATTATGTCTTTCTTTTCTTTTTCATTCTTTTAAAACTTCTTTTAACCCATTTAAATATGTTTTTAATCATTTTATTCTCTGTTTTTATTTTCTTATACTTGTTTCTTTATTCCTGTTTTTGTAAAGCACTTTGAATTACCATTGTGTATGAAAAGTGCTATAAATAAACTTGCCTTGCCATTCGTCTTTCGTGGACGACCAGCCTTTTTGTAGAACTTGAATGCATCAGTGACTTTGTAAAGACGCAATATTCTAGAAATGACGGATTTGGAATAATCAACTTCTCTTTCGAAACAACCTGCTGATGTCCTTTAAAAAAGTTTAAGCTAGTCCACTAATGTGCTTTTGCTGGTAAAGAACTAAAGGTGAACACTAAAGCATCCTATTGGGAACTAAAATACATTTGATGGTAATGATGATGGATCTGCTCCGTCCATTCACAAGGTGTCCTATTCTCTCTCAAAACTGCCACTTTAATAATTTCATGTCCTCGCATCAGCTAATGTTTTAATATTCCCCTCTGTCAGTTTTACTGGAATAAAAGGAGTGGGTGGGAGACTGGGGGAGGAAAGAATGCAAACCTTTGTCTACAGACACAACGATGGTGGAGGAGAAAGAAAGCAGCTCTAAATTAGACCCGCCCGCTCACCCCATGTCTTTCTGTCTGTCTCTCTCTCTGTATTGTTGTGTCTGGAAGACGTCAGCAGAGGAGAGGAATCTGGAGAGAGGGAGAGATGGAAAAAGAGAGGGATGGAGAAAGAGATGTCTTTGTCTCATCTCTTAAACATGTCCTGGTGAAAGGGCAGCTAGAGGAGAAACAGGGTCAGGAGGTGACTTTCTCGTTCTCCGCTGTCTTGCTCTCGTCACATCTTTCTTTTCTCCTTGATGTGATATTGTTATCATCATGCATTCAGTTAAATTATTAGTGGCTAAAGAGATTTTATTTTTCCTGTAACTTAAGTAGAGGTCATGGGTTCAGTTAAACGTGCAAAAATTGGATACCTTGCAATGTACATAATTTTTGCATAAATAAAATTATTTTAAAGATGTAGATATATTTAAAACCATTTCATTTATACACCATGTCATTCTTCTTCATGTGGAAAACAAGAAAGTTTCTGACCTGGATGAGTACTACAGTAGATGCCTATTACTCAACTATGAACTGTTTATTAGTACTTATAAACAATGACCTTATTTTACATCCCTAATCCTACCCAATGCCTAAACCCAACTACTACCATACAAACTGTTAATAAGCATCTACACTACCTGACTAAAGTCTTGTTGTATATTAGGAACAACAATAACTTGACTTAGTTGATCATTTAGTATCAGAAGTGGCTAATATAAAATGCAAAGGCCTCTAGACTACGCTTATTTTACCAAAATAAAATCTAATCATGCCTTGAATTTTTAATTATTTAATTAGGACAGTAAGGTCTGACTTTGCTTATACAAAAGTCTCATCGCTTAACAGAAATAATGTACAGTATAAAATATAAAGTCATGGTGCAGTGGAAAAAGAATTAGTATTGTGTATGACTCCCATGAGCTTGGAGGACTGCATCCATACATCTTTGCAATGACTCAAATAACTCATTAATGAAGTCATCTGGAATGCAAAGAAAGCGTTCTTGAAGGACTCCCAGAGTTATATAAGGTTCTTTGGATCCTTCTTCGATGCCTCCTTCATCTTACTTCAGACCTGCTCAATAATGTTCATGTCTGGTGACTGGGCTGGCCAATCTTAAAGCACCTTGACCTTCTTTGCTTTCAAGAACTATGATGTGTAGGCTGAAGTATAAGAAGTGCTATTCTGCTGAAGAGTTTGCCCTCTCCTGTGGTTTGTAATGTAATGAGCAGCACAAATGTCTTGATACCTCAGGCTGTTGATGTTGCCATCCACTCTGTAGATTTTTTGCACGCCTCCATACTGAATGTAACCCAAAACCATGATTTTTACTTCACCAAACTTGACTGATTTCCATGAAAATCTTGGGTCCATGGGGGTTCTAATAGGTCCAAATTATCGATTAGAAGTCAAGGTATTATTTGTTGCTGGGAACAAATAACTGGGATCAACGACAAGACTTTTGTCAGGTAGTGTAAGGGTTAATGGTTTGTTAATGGCGAGAATTGTACCTTAAAATAAAATGACCCTATTTTGTGTCAAATCAAAGTTTATAATATTGTGATTCTTATCATTACTTTCAATATAACACTTTAGCTGGTTAAAAATGGAAGAGTTGAAAATGGAAATAGCTATGCTTTAATCCACCTATTTTTATGATTTTTTTTTTATATCAATAAATAAATGCATTTTCCAGTGCTGGGTTGTGGCTAGAATGACATCCGCTGCGTAGAACACTGTATAAGTTGGTGGTTTATTCCATGTGGCGACCACTGATTAATAAAGGGGCTACTCTGAAAATAAAATAAATGAATGAATCAATGCTTAATGAAAACGCCATGCTGTGTATAAATTTTAAAAATGTGCATAAACAACGCATGCACACTTCTGAGTAGGATAGACTTTTTATCTGAACAGAAAAAATGTGCATACATTACGATAGAAACACATTTACTGAATAAATTCCAGCGTGATTTTGTTTCAACAGATCATGTGATAACAAAAATGGCTGTGATGGGACGGCATTAAAAGACAAACCAGCAGACTGGCCTCATCGCACATGGCCACATTGAACAACATCTGAATAGTTGTTTTGGTCATCGAAAATCCCTCAGCCAAAGTCTGTCATCAAAGTGGTTCAGAATTATTACCTCACAGATCTGACTGGCTGTGCTTCCAAAGTGTCTCGCAACTTCAATCACGCGTTCATGCATCTAGTCTTTGGCTGCTTCTAATGCACCAAAATCCATGTTTTGTTTTAATATTTGGCACTAATTTACCAGGAAGTGACTGTTTTCTTCTTTTTGACTCATTTGTTAAAAACAATGCTTAATTCTCAAATGTTTTATGCGATTATTCCGATTAAACTAGCATCTTTGGACGAAAACATAGCTAGATGTGGTAGCATTCACAGCTAGCTATGTTTTCGTCATACCTGTTCAAAAACATGAGTTCTCCTATTCAGTTTGGTGATTCTGGCAGCACATAAATGACCCCATTAACCTTTAAGTCCATCTCCCTTCCAGTTACGGTGAATGTGAGTGGCAGACAGATAGAAACTGAGGTCAGGACAGGTTAGATGAAAAGACCTGTGGCTCATTGTGTTTTCAGTCCGCAGGCCTCTCGGGGGCTTGTTTTGTTTATACAGCCGAATCAGCAGCATAAGAGAAGGAAGGATTACAGACAAACAGCACTCGACCGTGACAGGATAAGGAGAAAGGAGGTATCGGAGTCTTAAACCGCAGATCTACACACATATTAAACCCCAAATATGATCTGACTCTTTTTAAAGACTATCTTTATGGGCGCAGTGTCTTTTGTCCTTCAAATTTGCTCTTTCCCTGTCAAACAGATGTTCCGATGCTGTGATTAACTGTCTGGAGAGCGAGAGAGAGGATTCATTCTCAGGTTATTGTATCACTTGTCTTTTCTGTGTGGTGTTTATAGACAGTTCTTTTCAGACTGAGAGAGAAAGTGGTATCAGGGACGGAGCCAAGGAGAAGAGTTGATGTTTGGGGGGGGGTGGGGTTTGATTTAGGGGTGTGGTTGGGTATAAAGTCCAGGACTGAATAGTCTCATCTTGATGCCCTCTGGTCTCATTCTCTTTTCTCCCTCCATCTCTTCTCCTTTCTCCATCCCTTGCTCTCTCGGGACCCCTCACGTATACTGACCTGCGGGGAGATCGGAGAGAGATCATGCTGTCCGTACTGGCACTGACCTCCGTGGTGCTCTTGGGCATAGGTAAATACATTTCATCATTCTTGTGTTATTTTGTAACAAGATGGCAAAAAACTAACTACAAACCAGAAAAGATCCAGATTTCTTTTTTAATCTTCTGTTTTGGATAACTGTATGTTCAGACTCACCTGTGGTTTGTACACCTGGTGCCTACCTGTTTAGAACAGGCCAGCTTTGAGAGATATAGGTACATTAGAACACAACCAGAATACACTGTATTGTTTTATTTAAAATGTAATGGTTATATTCTGATTTAAATATAATGTGTTGTCTATAGTTTTTTCCTCCTTTTTCTAAATAATTTACAAGATGTTGACTAGATAAAATTACAGAATTAAGTCGGGCACTAAAACAGGCCTTTGTTCTCAAGGTGTGTGCAATTATTTGATAAAAATACAATAAAACAGAGATTTTGTGTAATGTAAATATAAAAAAAAACTGTATTTCCTATTTTTCCATAATTCTTTCAGTTTTTATTGTCACAAAATCCTTCAAAAATCATTCTAATATGCTGATTTGCAGCTTATTTTTGATCACTTAATATTGTCAACTTTTAATAATGATTTTAATTATTAATGTAGAAATATTTTTTTTTCTGAGTTGTTTTTGCTGAATCCATATTTCTGCTTTATTTATTTATTTATTTTTTTTTGTAGTTTTGTAAATCTTGCTCACCCTTTATTTTAAATTCTTTTTACAGTGTAACTATTCATTATACTATTCATCATCAATATACCCCTTGTACATTATTATTAGGTCACACTTTATTTTAAAGGCCCATTTGTTAAATTTAAGTTACATTGCAACTAATTCTCATTAGATTTTAAGTAGACTGTTAGGTTAGGATTAAGGTTATTGTAAGTTGACATGTACTTGCATAGTTTCTTATAGTCAGTTAAATGTCTGTTGAAGGAGCAGTATCGACAAATATTAAGGAAACATTCTAGTTATACTCAAATGGACCATTAAAATAAAGTGTTACTTATTATTATTATTATTATTATTCTAATTCTTCTTCTTCTTCTTCTTATTATTATTATTATTATTATTATTATCATCATTATTATTACACCTTTAAAATAAAGTGTAACTGAAGCCTTTAGTGCTAAATTGATTCTCACAAATGTAATTTAGATTTTATTTTCACTTTGTGCATCCCATCTGTCAGTTGCTTTTTTTTTGGTACACTAATAATTGTACTAATTATTACACTGTAAAACCCCAAAAGTTAGGGTAACTCAAAACCATTTGAGGAAACTGATTACAACAAACCATTTAAGTTCAAAAACTAATCCTAATGAGGTCTGTGAACTTAATCCATTTGAGAAAATGAAGCAATTTGAGCACAGTAAAATACAATAAATGAAGAGAACTCAAACCAATTGAGTACTGTAAAACTCAATAAGTTAAGGCAACTCAAACCGTTTGAGGAAACTGATTACTACAAACCATTTTAGATAAAACAAAAACTAATCTATAAGAGTACTGTGTACTTACTCTATTTAAGCTATTTAAGGTATTTAATTAAATCATTACCTTCAACACTGAGTTTAAAACTCTTTTCAAATGAGTAGAATTGAGTAGAATTAACTTTCAGTAAATTTTGAGTTAACTACACTCATTTCATTTGATAAAGCTGACTCTGTTGAGTTTGCAGTGTATTAATGTAAAAAATATATTTTTCTCCTTTATATTTTAGTTAAATCCACATTTCTACTTTACATTTATGTTGTTCTTTAAATCTTGGTCACACCTCATTGGCTGCCCTTGTTACAGTGTAACTATTCGTTTAACTGCTGAGTAATGTTAATTAATGACATATACTTACTAAATGGTTAGGTTAGAATGTGGGTTAGATTTAGGGTCAGTTGCATGTAATTATGCCTAATTAATTGATATGAAGAACAAGTAACAACAACACCTAAAATAAAGTGTTAGCAAATAATTTAGGGCTAAAATAATTCACTATTCACTTTGCACATTTCACATCTGTCAATTGTTGTTTTTTCAGCTCAATAATGTGCACTTCTGGTCAAAATTTTGGGGTCAGTAGGATTTTAAAAAGTTTTAAAATAAGCTTCTTCTGCTCATCAAGGCTTCATTTATTTAATCAAAAATACAGTACAGATTATACAATTGTGAAATGTTATTGCATTATAAAATAACTGTGCAAAAGTAGTTTAGAATTTATTCTAATAATTTACTTCAAGGATTTTAAAGATAAAAATTTTGCTTCATTACTACAGTCTTCAGAGTCACTTGATCCTACAGAAGTCATTCTAATATTAATGATTTATTATTATTAATATTATCAGCATTAATGGTAATAGTAATAAAGCAATAATGACTGGAGTAATAATTTAATTTTAAAATACATACAATAAGAAAGCAGTTATTTAATTTTTAAAAATAAATATTTACAATAAAAAAATATAAATAATTAGTAATATTTTTTTTACATTTGATAAATGTGCAATGAACTAATGAACAAAATAATTATCTTAAAAAAAAAAAAAAAACTGACCCCAAACATTTGACCGGTATATATGTCCTTGTGTAAGCTAATAATCCTGTGTTTGTATCCTCCAGCCTCTCAGAGCACGGCTCTAGTGGTGAACACAGACTCGGAGAAACATGCATTGGTGGGCTCAGATGTCAGACTCTCCTGCTCTTTCTTCTCCTGGCAGTGGACTTCTCCAGAAGTGTCCTTTACATGGCATTACCGTCCAGATGGGGCTAAGGACGCAATCTCAGTGAGTAGAATCCATATTTAACAAGTGTTTTCTTTTTATTTACAGTTGTGAATTGCTTTATGGGATGTTGATTTCTGTTCTGTTGACTTTTGATAACTTCTACAGTTTAACAAAGTGAATTCTATTGACATTTTAGTAGTTTGAAATAGAATAATGTATGTAATATAGAAAGAAATAAGTCTGTAAAATTACAAATGTATTTATTTTAATGTATTACAAATTTATTGCAAGATACCTATACCATAATATACAACACCAATCCAGACAATATATCATTTTAAACTGCTTAATGTTAATAAAAGTCTTCTTTCTTTTTTTTTTTTCAATTTTCAGCGTTAAAAACTGTTGGAAGAAAGATTAAGGTCCCATAATGCAATTCAAAAACATCAATAAATAGAAAAAAATAATAAAAAAAGGAACCACAAAATACAGAAAACTGCTCATTTGCGGTATTTTTTAAAGTGTATGCTCACTTTTTTATCCTTCTTCTGTTTATTAATAAAGTGAAAGGCATTTAAAACAACATAAGTGAAATAAAATAGGTGACAATAACATAAAACGATTTTCGAATAAATATATCAATCGTTATGTACACAAAGACACACTTGGATGCATTTAAAAGCAGATTAATTGCACTTATTTAGTTTTGATTGTAGCATTCATGTATTAAATGTTGCGATTATTTCTGAATAGTCAAGCAAACAATGTTCTGAACACATACATTTCACATCACATAAAAGTATTTGATTCCTTATTGTAGGTCTGCATTTCTAAATATCTCAAAAAGGCAAAGCTTTCTTGAGAGCAACTACTTTAATTTCACAACACTTAGCAGTTATTTGAATTTGTAATTACAGAACGAAGCCTCGTATTATTAACATGGTGTGATTTGCATTTCACTAAACTTGTTAAAAGGTGTGTTCACTGCCAGTGTAACTCGTATATCTGTATGAAAACATCCCCACCCCTTGGAAATAATATCCATGTGTCTGTGTGGTTTGTAGAGATAATTACCATGCAAATAGAAATATTAGGTCCTTGTGGGTGTAGTTCTGCTTTCTCGATTGTACAGTGCCATGCAAGCCAGCTGCATTCAGTTGTTGATGCTTGTTCCGACTGGTAATTCTGGAAGTTAAAAATATCGTTGTATTTGTTAGGCAGTGTAGCAGTGGTTTGATTAGCATAAATTAGTTTAATTTGTAATTTAGTTAACATTGTATGTAGTTTTGCTGCTATGTTTGCTTTTTAACTTATGTATTTGATATACTCATTAATGGGCACCTATGGTAAAAAATCTACTTTTCAAGCTGTTTGGACAGATCTGTGTGTTGGTATAGTGTATAGACCGTCATACTGGGGTGATATGAACACACCCAGTCCTTTTTTTTCAATTTAACTACAAAAAAAGGGTCGGCCAATTGGAGCTGTTTTCAAATTGATCGCACCATTGCGTAGGTGTGCGATCCCCCCGCCCACCGAATTGATTGACAGCTGCGCGCATTAACATGTTCCGGTAGTCGCGTGTATATTTCAACAAGACCAGACAGACATACGCAAAGCAACTGGGAATAAAAGCTCTGTTCTGTTCGCTAGGATCAGCAATCTAATGTGATTAAGAGTAAGTTTCACATGTTTAAAGTGTTTTAAAACAGAGTATGTGTGTAATTAATTACAGCGTTTTACTTCAGCTTTACTTCATCAGCACAGCCGCGTGTCAGAACAATTATAAAAGAAGACGCTTCAATCCCGGTTTGTGGAAGTTAAATCAGGTTTATTTTGTACATTAGCATAACAGATATCCACACAGTAACTTACTTGAGGTTAGCCTTAACTAAGCTAAGCACGCTCTGTCTGTCTGTCTGCCTGCCTGTGTGTGTGTCATCTGCGGTGAGTGTGGGTGCGCGCGTTAACTTTGTAACTATATTGTGTGTGACTCATCAATGCAACTTCACTATACTGATTAGTAAAGGTTAGTTCTTACTGTAGTATCTCACAAACGCTACGTGAGACCTTCTTCCTTTAAGTCTGTCTGTTGTCTGACGCAGCTGAGGGAGGAGGCATATAGAAATAGTGGGCGGGAAAGACTCGTCTTAAAGGCGCAGTACGACAAAACCACCCCCTGCTGGAAATCAGTATAAAACAGCATCTTGTAAAAGGTATAATGAAAAATCTGATGGGTATTTTGATCTGAAACTAAAAAAAAAAAAAAAAAAAAAAAAAAAAAAACTTTATATACACATTCTAGAGACGCAAAAGACTTGTATTAAATCTGAAAAAAGGGGTAACCTAGGTGCCCTTTAAAATAATAACATACAATAGTTATTCAAAGTAATATACAATTTTATGATATATGTGACCCTGGATCACAGAAGGGTCAATTTTTGAAAAACTGAGATTTATACATCAGCTAAAATCTGAGTAAGTTTTCCATGGTATATGGTTTGTTATATTTGGCTACTATATGAAAATGTAAAATCTAAGAAGAGTAAAAAAAATCTAAATACAGAGAAAATCACCTTTAAAGTTTTTAAAATTAAGTTCTTAGCAATGCATATTACTGATTCAAAATTCATTTTTTATATTTACTGATAAAACTTTACTAAATGTTTTCATTTCCAATCCAATTCAAAAATAAGCAAACCCAGTTTGCAAATTCAAAACAATATTCAGGAATACACAAATCCAATTCATAAATTCAAAACACAATTAAAAATACACAAATACAATTCATAAATTCAAAACATTATTCAAAAATACAAAAATTTTATTCATAAATTCAAAACATTATTCAGAAATACACAAATCCAATTCATAAATTCAAAACACAATTCAAAAATACACAAATTCAACTCATAAATTCAAAACCCGATTACAAAAAGACAAATCCAAATAATAAATTCAAAACATGATTAAAAAATTCACAAATCCAATTCATAAATTCAAAACACGATTCAAAAATACACAAATCCAACTCATTGTGACCAGTTGGATTATGTAAATGTTTGGCTTCATAATTTTTTAGCTGCTCCCAAAAATACATCCAGGCCACATATGACTGGTTTTGTGGTCCACAGTCGCATATGTAATTGTAAAAGAGGTTTTCTGTCCTCTGTTATGTAGATTTTCCACTATGGAGGTGGAGAAGCTTATCCAGCTAATAAAGGCCCATTCCAAAACCGCCTGGAGTTTGTGGGCAACCCTAGTCGCCGTGACGGTTCTATCCTGATCAAGAACCTTGATTTCGGAGACAATGGAACCTTCACCTGTGATGCCAAGAACCCACCTGACATCGGCGGCCACCCCTCAACCATTCGGCTGCTGGTGTTTGAGAAGGGTAACGGATCTCTATGAGTTTTCTATAACAAAAAAAAAGTGTTTTGCAGAGAAACACATTACAAGAAAGTCACTTGGGGTTCCTCTTTTGCTTTTTTGCTCAAACTATTAAGACTGCTTTTTGCCTTTAGGTCCATCTTGTTCCAAGGTGGCTTACAAAACCTGCGAGATCATATGGTTGCAGATGAAAGTTTGCAGCTAATGGAAGCGCAAAGTAACAGTAAAGCAGAGACCTGAGTGGTTTCCTTGTGTAGTTCTGTGAGCACGATTTCTGTGAAAAATAGCCACCGTTGGATCCAAATGCCTCACACAGAGCCTAATTCATCAAATAAATGCTTTTGTGCACAGGTGTTTTTGATTTTCCTCTTTGTTTTTCCTTTAAATAGTAGACTTAACTTCTCACTGCGGTATGCAGGAAGATGCTGGCTTGTTTGAAAAGGGAAAAAATGAGAACACTTCCAGGTGGACATTCACTGTTAAAAAATGATTTGTTCCACACAAATCCTTCTCAACACAAATCAATTAAGTGAACTTATTATTATTATTATTTTTTTTTTTCAAATTTAAGTGGATTGGACAAAACAATTAAGTTGTCCACCCCAAAAACACTCAACAATTGTTTTGATTCATCTCATTTTAAATAAGTACAGTTGAAGTTACAATTATTAGCTCTCCTCTGACAATTTTTTTTCAGAGCAAGAAATTGTACACAGTATTTACTGTAATATTTTTTCTTAAGAGACTCCTTAAGAGTCTTATTTGTTTTATTTTGGCTGGAATAAAAGCAATTTTAAATAAATTATTTTTAAAAAATGATGGTCAATATTATTAGCCCCCCTAAGCAAGTTTTTTCAATTGTCTACAGAACAAACCACTGTTATGCAATAGCTATGTTTCTATCAAAAGATGTGAATTAAATGTATTTGCAAAACTGGAATATCCCATAAGACGTGCGTTTCCATCCAAGTACTCAAAGAGTAAAAAATCGTGACTTCTTGATTGATTGGCGCCAAATATCCAAAATAAAATATAATTTGCTGTGGTAGGAGAATATGCGTCAATCTTTTCTTTATTTAATAAACATCTTGCGCCTCAGATTACAGTATGCCGAAGCGCAGTGATTGCATGGTGGTCTTAAAAGGCATGAGACGCGGAGCACAGATGCTCTTGACAGTTCAGGAGGCACAGCTCAACAATAAAGACTGCCCGTAGGCCCGGGGCCAGCATGTGAGACAGGCTTGGGACAGTAGACAGGATAGTTATTGCCTAGTCATTAAAATTTGATTTGCTTGCGACTATTTGTCAATTGCGTGCAAATACAGTGTTAGAATCGAGAAACAGTTTGTTCTTTTAAGCCTTCAAACGCTACCTTCTCTGATGTCTTAACACCACGTTGCTTTTCGGTTCCTCTTATCCGATTGGATGTTTTGAGCACGTTATTTTTTCCATAAAATTCAGTCCAACGAAAAGACGACAATATGGCAACAACATCAAATGATGCTAAATAAAAATGTCTATTTCTAACATCTTGGAAGCACACATTTACATGGGTAGAAGACATCGAAAAAAATGAAGCGATGTTTTGTACAGTTTGCCCCCAGTTTGGCAGGTTAAGGGGGTCACACACCAGAAGTGCCACACCGCGTATAGCCACGCAGCGACATGCATTTTAGAATTCTAAACATAGGTTTCTATCAGGGTACACGCACTGGCGCTGCATGTCCGCAGCTGTCCGCGAAGCCCAGCCACGACTCATGACACTGCTCATATTTCTGCCCCGCCACAGAGTGCAATCTGATTAATTTTAAATAGCATGCAAGTGTGCGGGTCTGGTGTGATACTTTTAACTGTCATATGCGTGACGTACCGTGGCGCATCCGGTGTGTGACGCACTTTAGCCACCTTTTGTTTTGCAATAAAATACCTGCACATTTGGCATACTGCTACTTTTGTTTGCAATACACTTCGAATTTTGCTCATTATACATTTATTAACATTTTTTAAATATTTAAATTCTAGATTTACAAACTTTTTTTGACCATTTTATAAAAATATGTGGCTAAGAAATAGCTATTAAATTTTCTCATTTTTTTGGTGGGGTCAGTGAAAATATTGTCAGGGCAAGTAAAAATCTGAATCGCTGGTCCGATCGGGCCAGTAGAAAAAAATCCTTAACATTAATAATATAGTAACAGTAATACTGATATGGTTAAGTTGTTTTAGAATGATCAAAACAACATTTCAGATGTATTTTACAGTGTACTCAGCCTGCTGGTTTTTCCATTTACACACATTTATACACATTTTAAGATCACATGATCTCTTATAACAAAATCACATGACTTTTTTTTAATCCGCATTTTACAATTTGTTTGGTAAGTGTTTCCATCATAGTTTATGCACATCTTTTCTTAAGTTTATCCTACTCAGTTATGTGCATACATTTTTTTATGCGCATTTTCAAAATGTATGCACATCTTGCCGTTTCCATCAACCATTTTTATTATAGCATATCCAAAATGTGCATAAAAGTAAGCGGATGGAAACATAGTGACATAGCTTCGACAAAGAGTTAGTTTATGTACATTTCAGTTAAGTTTTAGTTTCTTTTTTATAATTATTTTTTCAGGGGTATTTCCTTTATTATGGTAGAACAATAGAGATTTCAGACAGGAAAGCACTGGGAGCAGAAAGAGGAATAGGATTGGCAAAGGACCTCGAGCTGGGAATCAAACTCAGGTCGCCGTGAGCACGTCAACCCTATATGTCGTCTTACAGTACCACAGTTAATTTCTTTAATTGTTTTGTACATTTTAGTTTTTATTTTGTGAACAAATTTCTATTTAGTTGTAATATGTTTAGGTTGAGTTTTAGCTTTAGTAATTGTAGTTTAACAGAGGTAACAGATGACATCCAGTGTTGCCCAAAGTAAAGTTTAGTGTTTGTGCAGTTTACATTAACAAATTAACGAATTAAAGTAAAAATTGTTCAGAATTCAGACAAATGTCTTCATGTTAATGTTCGTGTATGTAGCTAACTATACATCTGTTCATCTGTTTATTGTTTGAGTGTTTATTAATTATTAGTTTTTATGCACATATGCAAAATGCACATAAAAATAGGTGGATGGAAACACAGCTGATGACTTGCCTTATTACCCTAACTAGTTAAGGCATTAAATTGCACTTTACACTGAATACTAGTGTCTTGATAAATATCTAGTACAATATTATGTGCTGTCATCATGGCAAAGATAAAATAAATCAGCCATTAGAAATGAGTTATTAAAACTATTATGATTAGAAATGTGTTGAAAAAAAATCTTTCTGTTAAACATAAATTGGGGAAAAATATACAGGGTGGGCTAATAATTCTGACTTCAACTGTAGTTTGAACGAGCACTAAAACTCATTTTTGGAGTGTTGATTGATGCTCTGTGAGGTTATTTTTTCAGACATAGTTGTGAAAAACTCCCATCACATAATACAAGTGCATTAGGAAAAAATACGACCTGTAAAACTGTGAGGTGTGTAATCTGCAGACCTCAACACTCCTCACTTTATATTCTCTCTTTTTCCTCTCAGTTCCAGTGCAGGCTGGTGTGATAACGGGCTCCATTATTGGTGTAGTGTTGGGACTGCTGATCCTCGTTGTGGCAATTTACTATCTGATGCGCTTCCTGGTGGCCAGAAGGGTGTTCAGCTTGAGCATGAGGTCAGTCTGGGAGCATCTGCTTCCTCGAGCTCGACCCGAACCTCTGCCTGGCCTCGACACACAAGCTCCTATACACACACACAGTCTTGCCAGGAAACAGCCCAGATCTCCTGTAGCCACACACTCACCCAAAAACACACGCGTCACGAGCGAGGCATTGTCGAAAGCCCCAATCGAGCCAGCGGGTAGTAAGTCACCAATTCTCGCTTAGCTGAATGGTAGAATGCAGCTTATTTTACCAAGAGTTTGTTTTGTTTTTATGTGCCAGTTGTCAATGGGTGTAAAATTAAAAAGCTAATAAAAAAATTTACACTTTATAAAAACTCCTTCATAAACCTTAGTAAGTTATTCAGTTTGAGTGAAGTTAGTTATTATTTAGACATTGTTTTACTTGATGTAATTTTCAGTTTTAGTTCATTTCTTTAGTGGTTTTGTAAGTTTTAGTTTAGTTTTTATTTTGATTTTATATGAAAAATTTTATTCATAATATTATTCAATATTATTTATATTTAGTTGTAATATGTTTAGGTTAGGTTTTAGCTTTAGTAATTGTAGTTTAACAGAGTTAACAGAAGACGTCCAGTGTCGTGCAGTGCAAAGTTTAGTGTTTCCACAGTTTACATAACCAACTTAAATGAATTAAAGTAAAAAATATTCAGAATTCAGACAAATCGTCACCTTAGACTTATAGGGTTCTATCTGACATTTTTGTTAAAATTTAGTTATTGATATTCTTATTAATTGACATCTTATTTACATTACGGGATATTTTTATAAGTGGTTTACATTTTAAACATTTTTATTTAAAAAAAAACAAATATATCTCACAATCATTCAGACGAAATGTCTTAGGGCTCTATTTTGACGGTCCATGCACAAAACGCAGGGCGCAAATGCTTTCAGGGCGTGTCAGGACGCGTTTTTGCTAATTTAAGGACGGGAAAATCTACCTTGCACACATGGTCTAAAAGGGTTGAGTTTATTTTCTTAATGAGTTATAGGTGTGTTTTGAGAATAAACCAATTAGAGTCTCATCTCCCATTCCCTTTAAGAGTCAGCTGCGTCGTGCCAAGAGCGCATTCGCTATTTACAGGACGCAAAGTAAGTCTAAGTAGAAAAAATGAGCATTTCACAAGCAAACAGTTAACAGTTTTTTTTACAGAAAACTGTAAAACAGAGCATCTACTGCGTGAGAATGAGAGATAATGGATCTACTTTCACATTTGCTCTTGGATAGGGAACCTTTACGCACAGACATCAATTAGTCTATAAATAAATAATTTTGTTTGTTAAGCGCAAATATTTGTTTCAAAACTATTTCTAAATTCAGTTCTAATTTCCAGCAAACGAATAAATGAACAATAATAACAAAATATGCTCTAAAACCTGAGTTATATCCTAAAACGCATGCTGTGCCCCATATGGTCTAAAACCTGCAGGTGGGCAAATCTAAGCTTGTTTTTAATAAAACAATATAATAAATAATACTGCTAATAATAATAATATTATACAAAAGCAAATTGTTATGAATGAACTAAAAAAGCCTCCCGAGATGAAGAAGACATAAAAGCAGTGATTTTTCATATTTATGTAGGCTAGAAAATAATATGTTTTGTAATATTTTAATCCTTTATATTTATATCCTATATCTATTCTTATTATATCTTATATATATATATATATATATATATCCTTAATATTTAAATTTTTTCATATGTAAAGATATTTGCCTATTGCTTTCTTGTGCGTATTAAGCAGTGCGTAAGCGAGGTGCAACTCTGCACCGGAGTTTAGACAAATCTATTATAGTTTCTCAAAATAGCAATGCGCCAGCGGTCCGCCTCAGAACGCCTTTCTTTTTAGACCAGAACGCCTATGGCCGCACAAATGAGCGCTAATGCATTTGCTATTTAAACAGCGTAGTGCAACGCCTCAAAACGACTCTTGCGCCAAGCTGAAACTACCAAAAGTCTATTGCGCCGCGCCTTGCGCCACACTGCGGTGTATGATAGGGCCCTTCATGTTTAAGTTCATGTGTGAATTTGTTCGTCTGTTAAAGCGCCATCCACTGGTATTTCTCTTAACAACTGCAGGTCAGGTTTTCTGCCACAGAACGAGAGCTTATTAATTCGTAAAATAATTATTTTTGCTAATTATTTAATTTCAGTTTGTTTTTCAGTGACTGTTATTAGTTTTACATTTATTGCTAATTTGTTTTGTTAAACTATTTGTTAAATGTTTTTGACTGATTTCTAGTTTCCCTTGATAAAGTTAACTGTTTTCAGTGATTTAATCACACATCAGCCTAAACATCTTAGTGAATAAGGATTTGTTTTGCAAAAATACTGAAATATTTAGAAATTTAAATGTGAACCCATGAAACCCACATCTATGGCTTATACCCAGTTCAGACCACAAGATTTTCAAAGTAGTGGTGTCACGGATGTTTTCACACTGCATGGCTATTTGGGCTAGTTTTTAGTCAGTGCTGTGTTTACACTGTTGGATGGATCGGCGGCAGGGGGTTTCACATCGATGATTTTAAAATAGGAAGAATTGCTACAAACTACATCTTGCAACCAAACACATGGGAGAAGTGACATGGAAACAAAGCGAGGTTACATAGTATATCTTTCATTATTAACTACATAATAGAAAAAGAAGGTGCAGTAGAAAATTTACTTATTTTGCTCACCTGGTTTTGCTTTGGATCTACACTTCAATTTACAGGCCATGATAGTTTTCACTGTAGTGCCCTTAGGAGGGCGATATATTCCACTTGAAATTCACAGCTGAACACATTCCTCTCAAATGCATATGTAAAGTGCGCTAGCTTATTTCACAATATTAGTTCACACAGTTGTAATCGGGGTCTGAAATGTTTTGTTAAATGCTTTCAAACAGCCACAAAAGACCAGCCACCCATCGCCTACTGACCTAATTCTGAAACAGTTGTTGTTGGGATTTGATGTTGAAACCAATTAAGCCACAGAGATGGGAAAAGGCTAGAGTTTACTAAATTTTAACACAAACTCTGTGTGTTCGGCATAATTTTATGGCTATCAAAAAAAAAAAAAAAAAAAAACTGCTTCTCTCCAGCTTCCATCGTCTCCCTTCATGTTGCTTATTTCACAAAATTGGAACAAAAGACCAGAAAAAGCAAACATACAGTCACCCATAGACCATCCTTTCAGGAAAGAGGAGACTAAAATACATAGAAGTTGTAAATGGGAATTTCTCCCACTGTACATATGATTTTTAAAGCGGGTGTCAACAGAGACTATAGGACACCTAGCTACCAAGCAGTCCTCCATCCAGCAGATGGCTGCGTTGTTCATGCAAATTTTTGTATGTTTGTTTCCCTTAGCAAACATGGCAAGAAAGGCAAAGGAAAAGAAGGATCACAGCAAAAACAGGCAAGTGCTCACCTGCCTCCATCCTAGACACGCACACACTCCTTAAAACACACACAGACAGATGCACACACACACACACAAGCTTGCTAGTTTCTTTCACTTGTTCTGTTAAAGTTCTCCTGTCCTCCACTGCTCTCCTCACTCTTATGTCTATGGTCAGTTTTTCGTTAAGGCTATGTTTTGTTATAAATATGTATATATTGTTTTAAAAATACAGCAAATGCAATATTGTAAAATGTTATAATAATGTTAACTTTAAATAATTAACTATATTTAAACATGCAATTTAGTCCAATGATGCAAAGCTGAATTTTTAGCATCATTATGTCTTAATCAATCTGCTCATTTGGTTTGCAAGAATTTTTTTTTCTAATTGTTTTTTGTTGAAATTGTGATATAGTGCTATTTGCAAATTTAAGATTTTTCAAATAGATATTTATTTTATTAGTAGAATAATCATTAAAAATCCACAATATTAAGCAGCAAAAACTGTTTCCAAAATGTATAATTATATAAACATACTTAAACTTCAATAAAACTGAAGTAATGGCTGCTGAAAATTCAGTTTTGCAATCACAGAAATGATTTATAATTCAATTTACAATTTAAATGTAAATACTTCCTAATTCTTTAATAAACAGAAATAAATCATAATAGATATATTATAAATTCTATAGTATAATAATGTTATAAATACTGTAATATCTATGGTAATTTGTTATTAAAATTATTTCTATAAAAATAATCAAATAAAACAATATTATTATTAATAATCTAAAATTATCAGACAAACTTTTTAAAATAATAAATACAAAATAAAACCTAACAATAATTTAAATAAATGAAAAGTTTAGATGCAAAAACCTCTAAGTGCCACCATTAGCATTTTTCTCAGGCTCCAATGTCTTTATTCTGTAATTTCATTTTTTTGGCAGAGTATAGGTTATTTTTTTTTAATCAACATTAACATGAAATAACTGAAGAAAAATCTAGATGGCACTTAGAGGTTTTTGTATCTGAACTCTTTAAATACTTTTAAAATTATTCAGTACTACAGGAAGGTCAGATGCATGGCAGGTGAGACTCCTGGTAAAACTAAATCTACCTCAGTGGTTCTGCTCCTCTCTGTATGCCAATTGTATCCATATTTGTAATCCAGTACAAGTCATCAAAAACAAAAGCAGAGGAGATTTGAGATGTAGCAATAGTGTCAAAAGTAACTTATTGCATTATTGGATGCGTTCTTAATTGTTGACTGAGTTTAAGCTGTGTAAAAAGCAAAGAGGTATGTAGTTGAAGTCAAAATTATTTGTCCCTCCTGTGATCATTTATTTTATTTTATTTTTCCAAAACAATGATTAACAGAGCAAGAAACAGTATTTCACAGTATTTTCCCATATTTTTTTCTTCGTATATTGTTTTGTTTTATTTCGGCTAGAATAAAAGCAGTTTTTAATTTTTTTAAAAAACATTTTAAGGTCAAAGTGATTATCCCTCTTAAGCAATATTTTTTCTATTGTGTACAGAACAAACCATCATTATACAGTAACTTGCCTAATTACCCTAACTCACCTAAATAGTTTAGCCTTTAAATGTCACTTTATTATATTAGTTATTAAAACTATTGTGTTTAGAAATGTGTAGAAAAAAATCATTAAACAGAAATTGGTGGAAAATATATACGGGGGGGCTAATAATTCTGACTTCAGCTGTATATCAGGATCCAGAATACATTTCCTGAAGAGAACTTTGGGAATAAATTAAAGGTTAAACCAAATATAACAGAAAATGAACTTTTACTGTGGGCTCTTCCCTATGGCCTTGTGGACTTGGGAACCGTCAAATCAGTATCACCGAACTGGCAATCAAATGGAGCTCATACATCTCTTTCCTCTGCTAACGTGCCATTCATTTGCATACCGACTTACTTTCCTTTCTCACTGGGATTATTTTCTTCTGTGCACTTTATCATTCACCTCCTCCACATCACTGATTTTCCTCCTCTAGCTTTCCCTTCCCGCTGTCCTCCATTCTCTCTGCAGGTGAACAGTAAAATGCTGTCAGAGCCAATCATGTTTCCACTTTAATCATGTATTATATCATGACAAACACCATCACGTACAATCAGACCACTGCTTTCCTGGCACGCATTTCATCTCTTTACAGGATCAAAACAGAAGATTTCCAATCTTGTATTGTTTATGTTCTTTCTGTTTTCATTGCCTTTCTTCCTCCTTTCCGTTTCAGTATGCACTTCGCTATTTGTACTCCTGAGGTGTGCGTCTCCTGTCAGCTTCACTCTTTCTCTTTCATTTTCTTGGTTCTGTCAGTGTAAACCCAGTCTACCCTCCAATATCCAGTCGACGGAATGTAGGTTGATAGATTTTGTGTGCTGCAGAACAGAACTAAAATCTCTACAACTTTAAATCTCGTAGTGGAACTTGCTGGAAAAGTTTATAATACGAAATCATATGTTTTGGCATTAAAAATTAGTTCTAGGAATGAGTTCTGTCAACAAAATTCCAAGTTTAAATTTGAGATTAACTGAAATACTTTACTCTGTAAAGATGAAATGTTTAGTATGTGCTCTACTACTGCACGCTTTTTAGTAATAGAAGTAAGCAGATTTTCATTTTTGGGTGAACTATACGTTTGTTTTCCCAAAACATACAGATTGCACTTTTTATTATTTTGAGGGAAAAGGGGCATTCATAACTCAACATTTTGTATTTTTTCTTAATCAGAATACACTTAAAATTTAAAGAACAATTTATCCAAAAATTTATAATTTGCTATTTAGTTTTCTTTAAGGTCATTCGGCTGCTTTTTCTTTAGCAGAATAGGATGTTTCTCTGAAACTGTAATCCTTGGTGATTCATAAAATGCAAGTCGACATTTACTGGCATTTGAGATTCAAAAAACATACGCTAAATCGATTCCCAAAATGTCTAAATTTGTTTTTGACGATCAAAGTACCCATTGATCACCTGATTTGAATGTTCTCACTCAATTGAATGAGCATTATCTGTGGATAGATATGGGCTCAGAAGGCTGTAATCATCCATCCACATAGGTAATCTGCTATACTAATAGAGAAGACTCCAGATCCAGATCTGTTTAACAGTACTGTGATGGTTGGGTTTAGGGTTGGAGTAGGGGTAGAGAAGACTCCAGATCCAGATCTGTTTTTACAATGCTGTGATGGTTGGGTTTAGAGTTGGAGTTGGAGTAGGGGTAGAGAAGACTCCAGATCCAGATCTGTTTTACTGTACTGTGATGGTTGGGTTTAGAGTTGGAGTTGGAGTAGGGGTAGAGAAGACTCCAGATCCAGATCTGTTTTTACAATGCTGTGATGGTTGGGTTTAGAGTTGGAGTAGGGGTAGAGAAGACTCCAGATCCAGATCTGTTTTTACAGTACTGTGATGGTTGGGTTTAGATTTGGGGTAGGGGTAAAAAGACCCCAGATCCAGATCTGTTTTACAGTACTGTGATGGTTGGGTTTAGAGTTGGAGTAGGGGTAGAGAAGACTCCAGATCCAGATCTGTTTTTACAGTACTGTGATGGTTGGGTTTAGATTTGGGGTAGGGGTAAAAAGACCCCAGATCCAGATCTGTTTTACAGTACTGTGATGGTTGGGTTTAGGGTTGGAGTAGGGGTAGAGAAGAGCCCAGATCCAGATCTGTTTTACTGTACAGTTTAGGGTTGGGGTAGACATTAATAAAATATAATTATTGGGAAATTTAATAAATAATTATTGTGGTTAATCAGCAGTACTAATAGAAAAAACTCCAGATCCAGATCTGTTTTTTGAGGTAGGGGTAGACGTTAATAAAATAAAAATAATAGGAAAATATATAAATATAAATAATTCTCATCCGGTCGCAGCCGTATGTGATCTGCAGCTGATTATCCATGTGGATGGATGATAACAGCCTTCTGAGCCTACAAAAGGCTCCTATTGGCCCATATCTATCAGCTGATTATGCCCATTCACTCGAGTTATGACATTCGACTTCTGCATTATGTGAATTATGGAGGAATGCAGTTTGAGCAAATAAATACAAAATAAATTTTTAATGTTATACTGTATAAGCAAGTCTTTTACATCTTGGATGCCATTAGAGTGAACCTAAATTCAACATCACGTTTAAACGTTTTTTTGTGTAGGTTTTGAAATCAAGTTTTTGAAAAAAATTATGAAAATAATGAGTTTGTTAAAAATATATTTCAATGGGATAAAAAAAACTTCATTCTTACCCTATTGACACATACAGTGTTTGATTATTTTGTAGAACACGAAATGTAGTATTTTATTTCTGAATCAAATGTATCTAACTCAGTGGTCTCGAACTCAATTCCTAGAGGGCCGCAGCTCTGTAAAGTTTGGCTCTAAAAGTCTCTCTTTATTCAGGAAAAGTGCAGAAAACTCCAAAAACAATGATTCACTTAACCCTAATTCACCCCAAAATGCATTTTTTTTCACCCACTTATTGAAACCTGTGTGAGTTTCTTTCTTCAGATGAAATTTTAAAGAATCATCATTGGTCCCCATTTAAATCCAAAGTATTTTTCCCTATTATGTAAGTGAAACCTTTTGGTACTTTGCAAGTATTGAACATGTCACCATTTTTCTCAGAAAACATATTTCTCAAGGTGCTGTTGACTTGAAATTTTACCTGTATATTAGAAACAACCAAAGAAAACTGTATATGCAAATAAAACAAATCTAATTAGTTTACAAATGAAGTTATGCATTATAAAATGAAATGACACAGGGTAAAAGTATTGAACACACGAAGAAAGGGAGGTGTAGAAAGGCAGGGAAAGCCCAGACAGCAGCTGAAATCTCTCAGTAGTTATTCAGCAACCCTCTGCCCTTCGTCATTGTAAATTAAAATTAGCTGCTTCAGTCCAACATCTACATTAACAGGAAGACGAAACCAGAGTAGACATTTCAGCAAGACAATGATCCAAAACACAGCCAAGGAAACTCTCAAATGCCTTCAGAGAAAGAAAATCAAGCTGTAGAATGGCCCAGCCAATCACCTGACTTGAATACAATTTAAAATACAAATTAAAGATCAGATTTGATAGACGAGACCCACAGAACCATCAAGATATTTTATACTCTGTTGAGGTCTGTGAAAAACTCACACCTGAGCAATTGATGTGACTTCATTCTCTGTATGAGAGTCTTTAAGCTGCCGTCCCCCCAAAAAACAAACTTTTATATAAATTATTAAATAGATTTGAGTAGTTTTTATTGAAATAGGGTTCAATACTATGTCAACAGCTCCTTTAGATATATTATTTCCAGGGAAAAACGTGACATGTTCAATATTTACTGTATTTTCTTCACTGTATATTTTGTGTTCAGCAGAAAAAAGAAACTCATTCAAATTTGGATCTAAACATCGAGTAAATGTCATATTTGCGTGAACTATCATATTAAGTTGAGTTACATGTGCAGCACCATTTCCGGTTTCTGACAGAACTGAACTCAAGCTTCTTTTGTGGAAAGACAAACAAAGATAATCAAACATGTTTCAGCATCCCCAGACTGAGCGGGGTCAAAGGTCAGCTGTATGACAGTTCTTTTGTTTAGGTGCTGTGATGTCACACTGTCACTCCCTAACTGGCCACTTCCTCTTTTGTCCCCCCTTTTCCAGAAACCGAAAGTTCCCCTGGTGTTCATCTCCTTCTAACCACCTGTTTAGCATTTCTTTCTTCTTCATCTTCTCTTCTTTAATGAAACTACCTCCCTTTTTCTGGTTCAACACATCCGTCAAACTCATCTGACCATTCCCACTTAACCCCTTCGTTCTCCTTCCCTCTCTCTCTCTCTTTTTCTTACTCTATTTCTCTCTCTCTCTCTCTCTCTCTCTCTCTCTCTCTCTTTCCTCCCGTAGTGACTCACTCCTCCCCTCTCCACACTCCCTCTCTTTCCAGGCTTCGGCTGTGACGGATCCGGCCAAGCTGAAGGCGGCAGCATCAGAGAAGAAGAAACAGGAATCTCGCAGGGAGAAGAAATAGGGATTGTGGAGCAGAGAGCTAGAGCTCCAGAGCGGGGCCGCCTCCGCCCAGACCCAAGCCCAGGAGGAGGCAGCGGGGATGGGCGGGCAGGGCAGGGTTCTTATGACCATTGAGCTAGAGCTCACTAAACAGGAGAAAGAGGGAGGGCAAACTAAAACCGGTCCCGCCGCGTTCTTTTCTCAACTCGCGCGCAAAATTACTCTCAAATGAACGAGACGGGTATGAAGAGAAGAGGGGGTGGTGGAGAGTTTTTGGAGGCGAGGAGTGAAAGATGAATCCTTTATAAAACAGGAGGACAGGAGAGGGGTGAAGTTTTGCTCTTTTTAATATCAACTGTGTGGTTTAAAAGAGAAAGAAAAACACTGTGTCCAATTTAGGTGCGTCATGATAAAAGACAAGTGATAATCTTTCACAAATTGCTTGAACAAAATGTACTGTTATAAAATATGGTTAGGGTAGCTCCACTCACATTGCAATCTCATTGGTTCGAATGGGTTTTGGACTAAAATGTCTTAAGCATGCTGTCACTTTATATTGTATAATTATATCGTTGATACAATTCTGGGTTCTTCTGCCCATATTGCAGTGCCATTGAGGCAAAATCACTTCTACTGTGAGGTTCGAAAGACAGAAAACCTGGAACAAATGGAAGAAATTATGATTAATGTCTGAATTATATTTCTGTTACGTAAATCCTAGTAGCTTTAAACAATAAATACAATTATAAATAACTCGGTTAGTGTTTTTTGTGCTATACTGACAGCAACACTTGTTGTATGAACTCCACTAGTTGGATAATGCTTGGATTGCATTTCTCCTAATGTCACTAGGTGACACACTCAATGCATTTTTTTCTAAAACATCCCGTAATTTCCAAAATATCAGCCTCTACATAATGGTTTATGGTAAAAGTACCGAAATTAATATATTTACTATGAAAAGTTAGAAATTTTGAAGTGTAAGACCAATCTATTTTAAAACGAAATAAAACATTTTTGAATACCAAATCATCTTTATTTTTTGAAGTATGCCATACAATATTTCACATTTAATTATTATTATTATTATTATTTTTTTTACAATAAAACCAAAATCAAGTGTAGTAGTGCAACAGGATAATGTTTGTGAGATTTTTTTGTAAACCAACAATGCTGTGTGTAAGCCATTATTTAAAACAGTCAGTCTTTAAATGACTTTAACAGTCATTATTTACAACAGTCATATTTTGGTCAACCATTCGGTAGAACGGGTAGTTAAAGAATTAAGTAGATGAATATCTGTTCAAAGGAATTCATATGCACAATATTTCTTACTTAGTAAATCAGAAATATTGTAGCATTTTGAATAATTCTTATTCATTTTATATCCAAAATCCTGAAACATTGCTTTCATCCAGGCTTAAATGCCAGGTTTTCAACGTTTGAACCTCTCTCTAGCCATAAAATGTGAATCTGTTCTCTGAAAATGCACTCTGTTTTTGTTTTCAAGGAGCACAGATAAATTACCTGCGGCCTGAAAGTCTTTGTGTCGCACCTGGTTAGGACACAGTCTTTTAAAAACCCAAAAACACTTCAGCAGCACACATTCACAACAAAACCCCAGGCTGAGAGCCTTCAGCTCCGAACACACTGTGACATGTGTGTTTGAGAGCTGTAATAGTGGCAGAATGCTCAGCATTTCCACTTTTGAAAGGGATAGTTCATGCAAAAATTGAGAAATACTAATCCTTCACTTGTTCGAGTTTCTACTGAAGGAAGATATGCTGAAGAATGACTTCCATAGTATTTTTTAATCCTACTATAGACCATTTCAGTGTGGTCATGTCATTGACCCATGATCATTTCCTGCTTGTTATCAAACTATTTCATAACTGTAACAAGAGGCAATTCAACTTCATGTTAAAGCAGCTATCATAACGTTATTTATTCATATGTGGCTCTTTTTGGATTCTCAGAAGCTATAGAAATTAAAAATGTAAAACAGAAAATACATTGAGACCAATGTTTTAGTTTACACCCCTCAAAATGGTCTATAAATGTCAATGGCTTCTTATCCCCCAACATTCTTCAAAATATCTTGTTTTTGTTTAACGAAGAAAGAAATTCTTTAATTATTAGAACAACTTGAGTGTGTTTAAATGGAGAAAGTATAGGTGAACTATCCCTTTAAGTGTCAGACCACCTCTCTCTGTAAACAAATACAATCCTACATACGAACACAATCCTAGCCGTATACTTTTCACATTGTACTCTTGCTGAAAAGTTCTTTTGGAAACTTTATATTAACTGTCTTTTTTTTCCCCTATTCCCTCCCTCTCTTTCTCTGTTTTTACTGCCTGTCTCTGTTTTGTTGTCTGTCTTTGTACTTCGTCTCCTCTAATCTCTCTTCCTTATAGCGTATCTGACACCCTTTTTCTGGTCATTTTTCTACTTTCACATGTATAAATTCATCTCATCATCTGATACACTGGTGCTATTACTTCCTGTAGGCCGGCCCCCAAAAGTAGCCTCCCATCCCCACCCTTCATTTACTGAGAGCTAAATATATAGCACTAGTATTTTTAGTCACACACACTTTTTAGTCTCACTTTTTAAAATTCCATTACAGTCAAAGAGAATTCCTTCTTTCGGAAACACACACACTCACTAACACTCATCTCATGTATCCCATCACGCAGTTTTAAGTGCCTTCCCAAAGTACATTTACAGCGAATCTGGCTTAGTTTTTGCTCTGACAGCGTCGACTGAAATACCCGAAATGACGTTGATACTGTTGGCAGCGAAACTCAAACATGCTGTGAGAGTTACTTGACACTCTAAGCCAGATTCTCACGTCTGTTGTCTGACAAGCAGCTGATTATTTTAAAGCACACTTGTAATGGCAGAACGACCTCTGTCTCCATTCTGCCCCTTATTTTTTTAAGCCAATGAGGGCCGGCTCCTATGGAGGCACTGTCCCTCGACCTTCATATATCATTAGTAAAGCTCCATCGCTCCATCCCGAATCATAGTTTTACTTCACCTCTCTCTAATTCTCCTCTAACTATCATAAACGCTCATCCACCAGCTCCTCTTCTCATTCCCTGTTTCTGCTGGTATGGTGCTCTCTCCTGCCCCCCTGCTGCCCACAGGAGAAACATTTACATTCGGCCAGTCACAAAGACGTCAATGCAAAAACAAAAAGTTAATTTAACTAGCTCTCTGCAGACTATGAGGCGCATGTGTATGTTTTTATTCTGATGAGATGTAACCTGTCAACATTAGGGGAACAAAACAACATAAAGACGCCATGTCATTGTAAGTAATGAAAATCCTATGACTGTTTGTGTGTCGGAAGCAGAAATGTAATAGAGTTTTAATGATGTTTAATAATGTTTCTGCACTTTCATTTGACTGACGTGGCGGTGTTCATGTGGCTGCTGCTTCACAACAGTGTTTACCATCAGCTTGTTGGCTTGCTAAGTCCACAGGAAGTGATGCAACGAGGGCAGAGAGGTTTTCGAGAGAGATATAAATGATGAAATACCGGGTCGGAGACTTGGACTGAATACATATTGAGGGGAAAAGTCAGGCCAAAGTCCAGTAAACATTCTCACTGGATGTGTTTTTGTGTCTTCAAGTCTTCGTGTCAACCCTGAGACCGAGAGGGGCTCTCATCGGGAAAGTTTTAGAATAGTGAGGGCTTGTGGGAAATATGTTTGTTACACTAGAGACAGATGCTTTTTATGCATCTCAGAGTTGAGGTCGAGCAGCCACATGGCTTCTGCCATTAAACTGTGTTTAAATATTGGGGAATCGCCATGTTGTATGTATTGTGTGCCCCTGTATTGGTAAAGGTCTAGGTAACCGTTCTCTCTTTAAACTCCATTTAAAACGGCTAATAATTTTTTACTTTTATTTTGACTTTAACCTCGCTAACATTGGTTTTCTGTAAAATGTCTTGTAAAATGTAAATGCTCAAGTTCAAATAATTTCAGAAAAATGTCAATAAAAAAATCAGATCCCTCGTGTGTTTCCAATGTTAGATTGACTTGTGTTTAGTCTGGGTTATGAGAGCTGCATGAATAGGCAATTAGGACATTTAAAATGTAAAAAATCTGAAATTTGTCATTTATTCATTCATTCATTCATTTTCTTTTCAGTTTAGTCGCTTTATTAATCAGGGGTCGCCACAGTGAAATGAACCGCCAACCCAACACTGGAAAACACCCATACACACTCTTTCACACACATACACTACGGCCTATTTAACTTATTCAATTCACGTATACTACAAGTCTTTGGACTGTGGGAGAAACCGGTGCACCTGGAGGAAACCCACGCGATCACAGGGAGAACATGCAAACTCCACACAGAAATGCCAACTGACCCAGCCGGGGCTCGAACTAGTCACCTTGTTATGAGGTGACTGTGCTACCCACTGCTCCACTGTGATGCCCATCCTAAATTTGTATTATTAATTTAACTTTGCTATTAGCTATGCATAAGCTATGTTTATGTCAGTAGCATAGTTGAGATTGTATTTGTTTTCTATTTTCTGTAATTGTGGGTGACTTCTGATTAAAATTTGCTGCAGTATGCAAGCCGACTACAAATAAATAAACCTTAAATTTGTTTATATTTTAAAATTAAACCAGTTTATATGGTTAGCCTACATTAAAAAATAGGAAATAGGAAATATGCCATAACAAACACCTGTGAACATTGTGATAACGTACCCCTATATACATTGTTGAAGAGAGCAAATTATGTCCTAGGAGGTACGTTTTTTGCAGTTTTTGTTTGCATGAATCCACTAGCCGTCGATGTGTACGCTTTTTCAGATCTCAAATTTCTCTCTCAAGTGCCATTCATACCTGCTGTTCTCACATAAATCCACCAGAGGCCACTGTCGACTGACTGACCAATTGACAGATTTTTTCCCCACCCTCCGCCTTCCCTAAACCCAACCAACAGTGTTTTCAAAAGCACCGATTGACCCGAACACCCACTTCCCTAAACCCAACCACAGTGTTTTGAAAAGCAATCCATTAAAAGAAAACTCCTCACCTGATTTTTACTACATTTTCTGAGATTTTACCATATTCTCACTCTATTATTTACTTGTTTATTTTATTTATTAGATTTTGTTTATGTCTTACCCGCTTTCTGGAACTGTTCTTCACTGGACTCAAACCCCGCTGTCGCGGTCAACTCCGCTTTGCGTCTCAAGTCCACCATAGTACATGTAAAGCTTCTGGACAAACTAGTAACAGCGGAAAAGCAGTCTATACGGATGAAAGTGAAAAACGGAACGGCGTCATACCACCCCGTAGAGCTTTTTTAAATTTGAAATGCAGCCATTCGTTCCTCTGGCTACATAAATAGCGATCTCCAGATATGTGTATAGGGTTACGGTTTCAGAATGTTGCAACTGTGGGAAACAGCAAAATGGATCATTATTTTGCACTGGTAGTAAAATTTAACAACACACTGAGACTGGAAGTTAACTTTGTTAAATTGTTAACTAAACTTGACATACCATAACAGGTATATTTTATAGCCAAACTAAAGCGTTTTTTGTCATAATCGTTGAAGACAGCAATGCACAAAAGTTTTATATTAGAAACGTTTCAGGTGTTTCATTGTAATTTGTACAGTTAGCACTTTCATTTTCATTCAGGAACATTTCATGCATGACCCTGTGACAAACGAGATATTGGATGAGAGTATGAACTGAGTGATATAGTGGAATTTGATACCGCACACTAGAGCTGCACGATTTTGGCTAAAATGAGAATCACAATTTTTTTTTGCTTAAAATAAAGATCACGATTCTCTCGTGATTCTGTAGATGTAAAATAAAGCTTAATATGAGATTATTGTTTTTTCTTAAACGTATGGCAAAACAACAATATTAATATTATGTGTAGGTCTACTAGTTTCTATAAATAATTCCATTCTACTTATAATTCTGATGTTGAATTATGTTTGAGATATAGGCCTATGCTTGCAATCTGTCGTTGAGAATATTATTAGACAATTTAATTCACTGGTAAAATCAACATTATATAGGCTAGAGTATAAGTATACTGACACTATAAACATTTATTTTCATGCACAACTGTTTGTTCGCTATGAAAAAAAAAACTTGTCGCAATCATAACTCTAAAATGCGATATGATTATTTAAATGATGTGCATGCTTTCGGTTTCATTTTCACTGCTAAGTGCTGTTCATACTTCGCACACGGCTCTCAAACGATCACTCTATGCCACAAACTGAATATTATTTACAACTGTATTATCTGTTACCCACAGCTTAAGCAGGTTCTGTTCACTAAAGTAGATGCATGCGCGTCTATCATTAAGTAGGGCACACGCCCGCACAGTCAGCAGTTCACGTCACCTGTGATTTCCCGGCCACAAATACTTTATATGAAGACAAAAATGACATTTTGGGTGAATTATACCTCATACCTTTTAAATACAGTATGTGACTCTTTTAACATCATTTGGAGGTGACCATGTCGCTGAGCAACGTGTGTGAAACAATGAAGACTCGTGCAGCCGCCTTTGCTTCTCTCCTGAACTTGAAAATATGATTGGCAGAATCGTAGAAATGCTGGATTAAGATCGTCTAGGGCACAGATGTCAAACTCAGTTCCAAAAGGGTCGCAGCTCTGCACAGTTTAGTTCCAACCCTAATTAAACAAACCTGATCAAACTAATTGAGTCCTTCAGGCTTGTTGGAAACCTACAGGTAAGTGCGTTGGAGCAGGGTTAGAACTAAACTGTGCAGGGCTTCGGCCCTTTTGGAACTGAGTTTGACACCCCTGGTCTAGGGGGTTGAATCAAGATTGCGATCTTTTAACGATTAATTGTGCAGCTCTACCGTACACTGTATGGAAAAAAAATCCTCTGCATTTCGCGATGCAGGTGTTGTCCTTCACTGACTCGGTAGGTGCGGAGAATAGTGTCAAACAGTGTGTACAGACTATCCTGTCTCAAAATGCGACATGATGGTAATATTTTGATTAAGGTGTTTACATGTCTGTACAGCACTTCAATACCGTGACTAAAATCGGCATAGGGCCTACTCTACATGTCTTAATTCCATTTCTGTTTATTCGATTATGACTTTAATCGGATTAAATTAATCAAAAATCAATGTTTATATGGTAGACTCTTAATCAGAGTATTGTCTTAATAATATTCAAATCGGGTCCATGTAAAACATACTATTTACCTCAGGTGCTGATTATGTGCTTTTTACACGATAAGTGCAAACCAACAAATATCAGTCACTCAGCATGTATTTTTAATAATGTTAAAGAGGTATAATATGTATTATAAACCTTACCGTGTACTCACCATTTGAAAGTATTTAAATGCTTCTGTAGTGTCGCGTCTACTGGAATCCTGTCGCATCACTTGTTAGGACACGGTGTAGTTAAAACTATGGTGGATATTGTTTACTGTAGTCACAGTAGCTGTCATCCACAGAGACAAATAAATACTAGTCCAGCACATGAAGTTCATGTGATTTATCGCGTATTTCTACGTCAGCCGAGCCGAGTCTCTCTTTATCGGGCACAGCGGGGTCAGGAGAGCAGCTGCTGCGGCTCCTAATGGATCTGGCAGATCTGAACGGCGGCGAGAGCCTGCTTCAGTCTCTGGCTTGATTTTTTTTAGATGATAAAATAATCATCACGAGGCAGGACACAGCACAGAATTCAGCCCGTGTCGCTGCTTCTGCCCTGCCAACAAGCATAACATAAATAGTGATGATATAGGTGGATGTAATGCAGAGAGAAAGAGGGTTAAAGTAGGTAGCAGGTGCTGTTATTCAGAACTGGGGGCATGGAGATTGTGTGTGCGCGTGTATGTGTGTGTTTGTTAGGGCAGAGGGTGGGAAGTCAGCTTCGGGTTACCCTGAGGCACAACTGGGGGAGAAAGCTATGTGTGTGTGTGTGTGTGTTATCAGGTGGAGAAGTGGTATGTTACCTCCAAAAAAAGCCACCAGTGTCTTCCACACGTGTGAGGGAAGAGTGGGAGAAATCCGGGCACCGGCTCATTATCAGCGAACATGGGGAAAGGGGTGAGTGTGTGTGTGTGTGTGTGTGTCTTCCTGTGGTGCTTCATCAGTTATTCCGTCTGTCCTTTGCTCTGGTTGGCTTTATTTCCTTCGTTCTTTCTTTCACAGATTGTTATGAGTGTCGTACACTCCTAAATAATACATCGTTTTAGTGTCACATGCATTTCTTATGAATACAGTGTGATTTTTGTAGGGATATGTTTGTGTAGGGGATATAAGTGTGATTTGAAAAGAGAGAAAAAGGGTGAATCTTGGGGTTTTTGTTTTGACAGATTAAAAAAGAAGAAAATTAAATGATAATTTAAATAAATAAATAAACCCTTTTCACAATGTAATATTATGACATTATTTGAGCAATTGCTGCTAATTTCCTCCCTGTTATTAATAGTCTGCTCTGTGCAGTACTAGACATAATTAATGATTTGTAAAAGTTAAATAAGATGGAGTTAAATTAAATAACTTTGTAATACAACTGTATATATGTTTATTTAAAATGTATGCTTTCTGACAAAACATTTGATCAAATAACACTTTTATTAAACAATAATATTGTATGTGTGTATATATATATATATATATATATATATATATATATATATATATATATATATATATATATATATATATATATATATATATACTTTGCTGTAATAAGAATGAAAGCTATTGTGAATTGAGGAAAGAGAATAAAGTATAACGAAATGTCACAATGCGAAAATGCTAATAGTTTTATTATCTCAATAATTTAGTCTGAAAAAAGAATAATTTTGCAGTGGTAAAAAAAACACAACATTTCATGACAGTTTTAATGCAATCCGTCATAGAAACGGCAACTAATTTAATGTCTGAAATAATAAGCTGTTGTCAGTTTGTTGTATCTGACGTGTGCGATTATCTGAACATCATTTTAATGATACAATGCTGTCTGTG